ACTTTCACTGAAGGAGGCGGCGGCGGAAGCAGGCGACGCCCCCGGGAATCCTCCCACCGAAGAGCCCTAGCGGAGGCCGCTTCTGTGGCCAGGCCCCGTTTCCTTTAATTCAATATTCCCCAAACTTGCTTGTTCACAAGAATCACGTGGGGAGCGTGTAAAAATTACAGATTCCTCGGCTCCACCCGCAGGCCTACTCGATCAGACTCTGGAAGGGAGGTACTCCGGAACCTGTATCTCTAACTAGGGCCTGAGAGGCTGCTTATGATCAGGCAAGTTTGGGAAACACAGCTCTAATTCATTGAGGCTGGCGGGAAGGGGGGCGGGGACCGCGCAGTCTCTTTAAGGCGCTTCCAGTCCTCAGCTCCAATCGCTGCTCTGACCCCCTTGGTCGTCTCCTCCCCTCTCCTTGTCCTTCCCTTCGTCCACACAGCTTTCCCCCCAGCCCTGCAGGGCCGGGGTCAAACGACTGCCAAGTCCAGGAATGTTTCTGAAGCTGTGAAACGTCCCCTTATGGGGCGGGGTGGGGGTGGGGGTTTTGGGGAGTGCAGGCAGAAGCCGTGACCAGTCATCATCTGGCGGCAGAGCCTGCCTCCAGTCTGTCCCAGTCTCCTCTCCCACCCAGTTCCTGCCCTTCCTGCAAATAATGAAGCTCCAGCTCCATTAGGGGCAGGCCTGGACCCCAGATCTCGAGTGGCAGCACTCCCAAGGCCACAGGGCCCAAAGTGGCACGTCTCCTTCCCATCTTATCAGTGCCTTTGCTGTCTGAGCAGGTTCCTCACCTCCCCCTCAGGCTCCCAAGGCTGAGGGTGGGATGAGGGTTTGGTAGCTGGCCTGGTCCAGCAGAAGCTGAGCAGCCCAGGGGCCATCCCTACAGCAGGCACCTCCCCTACGAGTGAGAAAATGGCCTGAGCTACTGCGCACAGTCCAGAGACCCTTAACCCTTAACAGAGTCCCAAGGTGGGCAGCAAGTAGGAGTGGAAGTCTGGAGCTGCCAACAAAGAGAAGGGGTCGAGCACTTATCTTGGAGGCCTCTAGGAGCCCCTATGTTACCGGGCTATTGGCACAGGGTAGTAGCACCCGGGGACCCTTGAGAAATGAGCTCAGAACAAGTGGCTCAGGTCTAAAGCACTGCTAAGGATGTTGGGAAGTAGCTACTGCAACCGGTCCCAGGGAGTGCAGTCCAAGTCAGGCATCAGTCCTAAAAGCTGAAAAGAGAATATTCTAAGAGCCAGGTCCCTGAGTCCTGGTGGCAGCTGGCTTGTGGAGCTGTGCTACCTGATTCAGCACTGATGCCACCATCCACCTGACTTTCCTGGCAGGGAGGGGTAGGGGCAGGTCCCCTGGGGTTAGCAACAGGAGGTGGTCAGCAGGAACCCAGAACCCCTGAGGTGGAGGCCTGATTCCCATCCAGCTGAGGATTGCCCTGTACCTGACCTTTCTAAACTCTGCCTTCAATTCCTTGAAGCAGCCAAGGTTTCTTCCAGCCAGTGCTTTGTGGCCTGCAACCAGAGGAACTGCAACTAATGTATCTCCTGAAGGAATATTTTTGTTGGTGCTGCTAAAAGTCACTGAGGTCATGGACCTTGGGAGGCGAGGGTGAGGGTGCTCTCTGCCTAACTACTGTCTCCACAGACAGTCAAGAGACCCAAAGATCTCTGAGTACCCGATACTGTCTAGCGAGGAAGACTAACCATGATAATCTGATTGCCTTATTGATCAGCTCCCTGCAGAAGCCCACAGCTCCACCTGGGCTCTCCCAACCAGTGTGTCCTAGAAGTATAGGGCTCTTACCACTCAGTGGATGTTTATTCAGCACTCACCCACCCACAACCAGATGCTGAACCAAAGACATTTACTCCAGGGCCAGAATCGGGGCTGCCTTCCCCCAAAAGCATACTAACACTAAGGAACAGGCTAGGCCTCTAGAAGTGGCACCAATGCCTATATATAGATATAGATGATATAGATATAGATATAGATATAGATATAGATATAGATGATTTTTTAAAAGTGGTCCGTGTGGGAAAAATCACAACTTAGTTAGACTTCCTTAAATTCTTTTCCTTTTTATGTGTTACTTTTGCTTTGAATCACGTTCAGAGTCTGTCACCATAATGTTGAGGTGCTTACTGGTTGTTTGAGTCTAGAGTCAGTTCTAGGCAAGTACAGTATCACCATGTCTGCCTCACAAGACCTGACAAGTGCTGACAGAAGGGACTGACCTTAGGAAAGGCAGCTCCTCCTCGCAGTCCATGCTCCTGAATGCTAAGTACAGCTCTGACCACAAGGTGGCAAAAGAGTAAATCACAATTTCTTGTTACTTTGTATATGTTTATATAAAGCTTTCGGTTTATATCAAAATGCTGTCTGTCTCAAACTATTTTGAAAAACGTTGTGCTCCTTCATGTATGTTTACACTGATATCTAAAATTCTGTATCATGAATGTCAACTAGCTGCAAGAATGTAATTTCTGACAAGTGTTAACCTTCAAAAATAAAACTGTTCTGTCACTATTTTACATGAATCTGGTGAAACCTAAATACCTTAGTAATTTCAGAGACACCATCCTTTGTTTTAAAAATTCATAAGAAAGCTCTTTGATCATTACAAGTTGTACATTTCCCCCTTTTCCCTTGAGTTCTTAATTCTACTCTTCGAACAGAATTTTGTTTGAACAAGATATATTTTGCTCTTGAAACAGTTACTCTGCAGCAAAAATATGTGTATGTTTTGCTATTTAAATTCTCTTTAAATGTGCCTTTGATCGTAAGGCTTTTAAAGTGTTTAACATTTTGCTCTTGCTGGAGTTATAGTGCCAATTAGTATTAGAATGTGATGAATCAAAAATATTAAAAATTGTGATAGTTAATTATTAAACATAAAACAAAAGCTTATTGGAGATAGGGCCTGGTAGAGCTTTTTTTTAAAAAAATAACGGGTGTATCCATAAATAAATAATTATTATTGCTAAAGTGAAACAGGATTCAGCATCAATTCTCTTCCTATTTTTGTTTTGCTTAATGTTAGCACACAGAAATCTCCCTTATATAAATGAGTAAATGAGAAGGGATGCTTTGTTTGAGCAATATCGCTCAAGACCTCCTTTGGAGATATTTGAGGGGAAATTACACAGTGATTTATCTTCAAAATTATTTCTCATGATTTATCAGCTGATGACTCTACTGGGTTTTCTTTTAATTTTATTGGGAGCAAAAAAAAAAAAAGAGGAAAGCATTTGGAGTGCAAAAGGATTTCTCCCCATTCATTTCTAAGAGCAGTTTGTTGGCCATCCACAGCAGCTTTTAGAATTGTCTCTCTGGTGCCCTGAGGATTTTACACCACAGGGCAGTGCATCTAGGTAAAATTCAAGATGAGTAAAGGGTATGCTTTTCTTCTGTAAAGGAAAAAAAGGAGAAGGTGAAGGAGGAGATGGAAAAAGAGAACCAGCTTGATTCCTCCATCACAAGTGTGTTCTCTGGCAGATCAATTTTAAGACTACATATGAAATTTCGGGTAGAAATTGATTCCCTTCAAACTCCTGTACCCTAGGGTAATGCATACTCCACTTGGAAAGTCGCCAGTTTATATTTATGTCTACAAAAGTAATATATACAATATTTGTATTTTTTAAAAAGGGTATAGAAGAGTACATGACATGAAAAGTAAAAGCACCTCTCTCCCACCAATCACAACCAGTTCTATTCCCCCTGAAAATTCTGAGAAAATTTCTATGCAAATACAAAATATATAGATATCTATATATCCTATGAAATTTAAATGAGACTTCAATATAAAGAAGTTGTCTTCAAGTTGATCTACATCTCCAATGAAATTCCAATAAAAATTCCAATGAGGTTTTAAAGGGAGATTTACAAAGGAATCCTTAAATTAGTTGGGAAGCTTAAAAGGCATTTTTTTCCTTCCTCTTTCTTCCTCGTAGAAATAAAGATTTAATGGTAACCGCTGAGTAGCCATCTTGCAACCAGTCACAATGGAAAGACCAGAAAATCATCTCAGGGCTTTTTCTTACTTAAGGAAAGAGACACTATATTTCACCCATTCTAAGAGGTACATCTTTTCATGTTTATACATTGCTGAAAACGTTGAACAATAGTTTATTATTAGATTTGGCAGCATTTTAACCTTTCTTGGTGGTACATATAATACTGCTGTTTTTCACAATCAGTAGTATCTTAGAATCAGTGTAATGTTCCAAATGTTATTTTTTTAAGTTGTTGTTATTTGGATCCCAGTTATACAATTCCTAAGCAATAGTAGGCTTTCTATTGTCACTCCTTATGAAGTCACAGGTCCTCATTCTGGCCTTTCAGGCCTTACTGAGCATAACCTTGTCCTCTTACACTTTGGTTCCTATCAACTACACCTTGGTGCAAACAAGCTACACTTATTGCTGGTCCTCAAATCAACTAAGCTGGTACCTGCTTCCAGACCTAATCCTTATTGTTTCTTCTGCTTAGAAAACTTCTCTTAAAAATTCTCATGGCTTTTTCCCTCACTTGCTTTAGAGCTCTCCTTAATTGACACATCATTTCAGAGTCCCTTCCTTGACTACTCTATAAAATAGCATCCCATCCCCACTTTTTTGTTTTCATCACTGCTTTTTTGCCATCATTACATGATGTATTAAATAATCACACGGATATATTAAATATTACACAGACATAATTAATGTAAACTCCATGACAGTAAGATGCTCACTATTAAATTTCCAATGCCTCTTCGGCCCTGTTACATACTTAAATATTTGTGAAGTAAACAAATAAATGTCCTTCATTATGAGTGAAATCGACCACATTTTCAATAAGTTTATTGGTCAATTCTACTACTTTATTTTGTGAACTACTTAGTCACATCTTTTATCTAGTTTTCTTGTGATTTCTTATTAATCGTCCTAGTAAATAACATTTAAATGGCACCTGAAGTATGGTAAGACTTGTTCATTTCACTTGATTAACACTCACTACAATTTTAAGAAGTCCTTTTCATCTTAGAAGTAAAGAAACTGAGGCATAGCAAGACTGAATGTTACACCTGAGGGCACAGAACTAGTAAGCAGTAGATCTGGAATTCTTAACTACTCTCTAAATTACTGAGCTATTGGACCTCTGTCTCTCAGATTCTAATATGTAAATACTTTTCCCATTTAACATTGGACCTCATATTTTATTCCATATTTTACCATACGATGTTTAAGATTATTCTGTAGCCAAGTTTCTCAACCTTTCCTTTCTATATTTCAGAATTTAATTCTTAAAATATTTATCCTAGTTATAAAAGTATAGAGCAAGTGCAAAGGGCCTGAGACCAAAGAGTGCTTGATGATTTTGAGAAATGAAAATACAGGCCAGAATGGCTTGAATTAGGTGAACAAGAAAGAAGAGTGTGGTAGAAGATGAATATTAGGATAGAGACACAGGCAGGTTCTAGATCACTTGGAGATTTGTAGAACAGCCAGGACTTGAATATTAGCACAATTGTACTGAGAATCATTTGGGGGTTTTAAGCAAGGCATTGACACCATAAGATTTATGGTTTACACACAATAATTATAATTTAACAATACTAATTAACATTGATTGCCTGTGATATGCCAAGCACTGTTTTGTAAGTAACTTACTAAGTTATTAAAGCCTCAGAACATACTAATGTGGTAGGTGATAATATTGTCACAATACACATGAGGAAAGATGTGACACAAAAATATTAAAGAGACACAAAAACATGAAAGAGGCTGGGGATGTAGTTCACTTGCATTCAGCCCTGGATTTGATCCCCAACCACGCAAAAACAATTTTTTAAAGTATCTTAAATTTGCTTATGCTTACTCCGCTTCTATACCTCTTTCCATTTAGAATATACCAAGTTTCAACAATGAGATGTCTGATAACTGCTGTTTCCAGGCCCTTTATGTCTCACAAGTGGTCAACTGTCTTCTCTGGACAAAAGGAAGGGAAAATAGCAAGTCCACTCAATACTGTGTCCCTAATTTTGGGAGTTGGGCTCCTCCCATCTGATTTGGACCATGCCAAAATGCCTTAAGCCGAGGAATAGCCAACCTATTGGCCCATTCAAAATAAGCATGACTCACAGCCCGATTACCAGTGCAGGAGGATTAGGCCATACACCCTGTACTCCCACAGCCATACTGACAATCAGGTAACTGAGGAATCAGGGATTAGGATCTACCACAGGCCTCTGGGAGATACCTACCTTACAAAGGGAAGCAGAGGGCCTAGCGGTATGAAAGGGCTAATAAATGGAAGAGTTCAAGGCTTCTTTCAAGCACACATATAACCCAGGATAGCCTGCACCGATGTGATATCAATAGCCCACAGCCTTCTCTGGCTAAAAGAAAGGCTCTGAGAGCAAATTCGTGGTTGTAGAGATGGTGTCAAAAATGAAAATTACATTGTGTCATATACCAACTATCCATTTCCCCAGTTTTCATCAGGGATTGCTTCTAGCTACTATGTTTCTATCTTCCCTCAATCTTCAGCAACTCTGCCTGTAGCCCTTCAGACTAATGGCCCATTGGACTTACACTTTTGATTCTCTACCTATCTACCATACATTCTCTAATAAGTCTATTGCATGGCCACAACATCTGGCCAACTACATACCTTACCTTTGCCTTTTAGGAAATCTAAGTTCAGTTCTGCAAATCTAAGTTCAGCTGTGCAGGTTGGCCCTGTGGGATATATCTTGACCTTGGGCCTGACCTGAAACAGAAGAACAATGCACAGCACACTCTAATTTTACTTACCAAAGTATGGAATCTGATTTCTTGTACTTACCTAACATGCCTCTTCCAAATCTGAAGGATAGACTTTGTTAGGCTGTATCTCAAGTGATAAATAAAAATTTTGATAGTGTGATTTTATTATTTTTCAAAAATTTAATCCTTTTAAAACCACAAAAAGCAATAAAAAACAAACTTAGATGACCTCAGTAGAGGCAAATCCATCAATTTCTAGCAAAATGACATATGCCCCTCACCCACACACATACATAAAAAAACAAAAAACCCTCAAGAAAATTCTGCTCTCTCTAGGCAAAAAACCAGAAAAGGGGCAACCTTTCCAGAAAGACAAGTTTTAAATAATAATCACTATACTCCAATAAAACACCACAGGAAAAAACTGCAGCACCACTCATGCCAACAAAGACCAAGTGGGAAACTTACTTCCACCTTGGCCAGACTGTACCAAAGAGCCCAAACCTGCCATCATGAT